GAACATGAATATCATGAACCCATGACAAAATATTATTGTATTCTTGGTTATAACTTAATAATTTTCTTCTATAAAATTATGTTCCAACAGAAAAAAGAAGACTAGCCAATTATTGAATAAAAGACCACTATAAAGATAATTGATAAATGCTCTTAATGGAAGTTGAGTCCCCAATATCATGTCACGAAAAAAGCATAAATAAATACTACTATTGCCCAACTTGCCCATCTTTTTGTAAAGAGGTTTAACAGGTGGCAATAAGGGCCAATTTAGCATTCTGGTCAAGAGATATTTATAACCGAAGATCACTCAATGATGGAAAAATCCTCTTTACTTATCAAGTACTACAAGTTATAACATGAATCCAAAAGTTGTTTCCTTTTGATGTTGTTCTATAGTGCATAAAAAGTGTGCGTAGTTGCATAAAAGTTAAGGTATTTAGGATGTGTTTGGTTGAAAGGAAAATGTTTTTATGGAAAATGAATGGTTTTATCACTTATTTTTTCTTGTTTGATTAGTGAGTGAAAATCTTTTTCTGAAAAATATTTTTTAGGTGTTTGGTTAGAAAGTAAAAAATATTTTTTTATGCTACTCTACTCACCCCCTTCCCCCAAGTCCCTATGTTTCATGTGCTCCCCCCAACATTTTCATGATTCTATTTTCTTCAAGAATTTAATTATTCTTCTAAAAATTCACACAAATCCAAATAAACTAATGTGTTGCTTCACTTTTTTTACGCAAAATAACGTTGAAATTTGTGCTTCATAACAAAAAAAAATACATTTTTTTTGTTGAAAAAGAAATTACTAGCTATTTTTACAGCATAAAAATAAAGTACTCATTTTGTTGAAATGAAAGAAAATAATTTTTCTACATCATGAAAAAAAAATACTCATTTTGTTGGACTGAAAGAAAATACTTTTTCTACGTCATGAAAAGAAAAATACTCATTTTGTAGAAATTAAAGAAAATACTTTTTACTACATTTTGTTGAATTGAAAGAAAATACTTTTTACTACATCATTTTGTTGAAATGAAAGAAAATATTTTTTACATCAAGAAAAGAAAGTACTTTTTTTGTTAAAATGAAAGAAAAAACTTTTTTTATATCGTGAAAAGAAAATACTCATTTGTTGAAATGAAAAAAAAATACTCTATATATCTTTAACATGAAAAGAAAGTACTATTAATAATATTTCTATTTAGGGTGGAGATGGGGTAGGGTGGGGTTGGGGTGGGTGGAGTAGGGTGGGTTGGGAGTGTGGGGGTGAGTTGGTGGGGATGGGGAATGAGAGGAAGGTTGGAAAAGAGTTGGAAAAACATTTTCCTTCAATTGGAGAAAAATGAGTTCATGCAAAAAAAAAATTTCAAAACATTTAAGGGATCTTTGCAATAATAGCCAACGATATTTATTGTTTACTTTTTCTAGTCATATGCATATATTATACATTGATTATACATAATTATATACATGTAATATATAAATTATGCATATATTATACCTCAACCGGCTATTTTTAGTTTAAGTGGTTGGGACGAGCGGCTACTTGAATTAATTTTTCAACATTTAAGCTTACCAAATATAAAAAAATTAAAAAATATTTTTCGAAAAATACTTTCCTTCGTACCAAACACACCCTTAACGTTTCTGTTTTTTCCTAAATTTACAGCCATTTTTTATTCCCCAATTGAGATATACTTAAACGGTCATGCCATCAAATTTGGGGGTAGCTCCCTTTCCTTTGCCTTCTACCTGTGTGCTTAAGATCCCAATATCAAAATTCTGTAAGTTTATTCCCATAGGCAAAAAGCGAAAACTTATTTACACTTCTTGTTTACTCTAAACCATCCTATTGGTTTACCATAGTTGGAAACAAAATTTGGATAACAATGCGTATAAATTAACTATTGTTGAGTCATAACCGTTTACGTAAGGACGCATGTCATCTATTGATTTTGTTGTTGTAAATTCCGATTATGGATAAATTTTTCTTCACCTTTTCTTCCAAAACTTTCTCCTAAAAAAGATAGAAAGAGATCATTCATATTTCATACCTTAACAGTGACGCTATTTACCTCTGTTTGGTGGATTTGGACTTTGGAGAGATTATGGTTACGTTTTTGGTACAAATGGTAAGTGTTGGTCAATTTTCGGACTAGTAATTAAAAAATAATCAGTATTTGTAGAGCCGTTGAAAAATAGTTACTATTTTATGCGGAGATAAAATCTGGATAAAAATACCTAGCTGAAACACGGAAAGTTTCAGTATAATATTCTGGATTATATTTGGAGCTTCTACGTATAAATTTCCAGTAATATTATGTTGAAACTCCAACACATGATGAAATCCAGCAAATTATGCTGGAATCTCATATGTAAAAAATTCGAACTGTAGCATGTTATGTTGAAATGTTTTCGAATTTTTAAGGATATTTTTGTTCAAATTTTATTTTAAATAAAAATGTGGCTAAATTTAGATTACTTTTAAAATTATGACTAATTTTCAATTAGCAATTATAAATCAGGTTAATTTTTTCCCCGAGTTTTTGATATATTTGTATTTGAAGAAAAAGGCCTTTGCGTGTTTGGATGAAAATATTATGATTGCATTCATGTCATATTATGGACCTTTTCATATCATTTTTCCCGTACGATTCCTATCGTGTCACTAATGACCGATGTAATTTGTATAGGTATATCCTTTGTGCTATAATGGTGTAATATTTTTAAGAAAAAGGCACAATAAAGCGGACTGCTATACATATCAAACTTGTACGGTTTGTTCATTTTATATTTTTAGACGTGGTTTCCAACATGAAATCAATTTTCGCATTATTCCTAAATGTGATTTTGAAAGTAATGCTGGATATACATATAGTTGCTTTATCAATTTTATATAATGTCTCGCACTGTGAGTATATAAAAGCTAAACCCTAATCCGCAAAAGGTCATTGAATAACTAGATTCATGAGAAGTCAAGAGTATCATTGGAGGTGAAATTAAGGGATTACCATACCAATATATATTCGCATGCTCTTAAACTTAAGGCAAGACTACTGAGTATGTGTCTTGAATTTCACTATGGATTGTTAGAATCCCTATTTCGATGATTAATTTATATGTACTTTAATGTGCATATGAGAAATACTAGTCAGGACTTGCAACATCGAAAGCAGCCTAAGATAGAATTCGTAATATATCACATGTCCTATTTAAACCGTTAGTTCACACTTCACACTATACATGAGCAATAACTCAACGGTAAATACTTGCCCAACCTGCTATTTATACCGAACCAAGTATATTACCTGACCATGATTAACACCGATTGCGGATAACTATTTACCCAACTCAACCCAACTCTGCTTTTTAGGATTACTATATGGTAGACGTTTGAACTTTGAGCAACCCACCAAATGTGAGTGAGTGAGTCGCCCAAATTCATAACCCTCTTGATCTTTGCTATATCTCCATATCAAAACTAGGAATGATTGACTTTAAGTAATAGCGCATGACGGTAGGTACTGCTTCAGTGCTCCTTATTTATTCTTTTATGATCTTGTTTATTTGAAAATGCTTATCTTTAAGTGCGCAGAAAAACATATCTAGGGAATTAAACGAGGGATACTGAAACAAAAGCTTCGTCACTACTCGAAAAGCTAGTAAAGAATATTGATAAAGAGAATCCAATATATATAATTTTGTTTAAATTAGTTGGTCCGAGATTAATGTTCTTTTTTCCGATCAACTAAATAGTAGAGCCTGATTTAATGCAATATTCCAGTTTTGGTCCTTATATTATTTAATTACCAAGTGCATTTGACTTGACCTTCAACTAAACTAAAGGTGTGACTTTGATCCCTCAAGCTAATGTGGAGACTAACGATATAATCAAAATTGTATCTTTGACCAAAAGCCACTGACCTGTCAAGGTGGTACTCCATCTGTTTATATAGTAACATTCTTCTTATACATTTAAGGAAATAAAGAGAACATATAAAAGGAAGAAGAACAAACAAAGCGGAGTAGGAGAACATAATCTTCTGAAAGATTCGAACATGCAAGTTATGGGCGGGTATTGCGAGTAATAGGATCACACTCCATTCTACGGGGCACAGGCAATGAATGGAGCAGATAGTGTGATTCAACTAATATAGCATTAAAGCGAAATCATAAAAAGTATTAGGTGTGCGAACAAAGTCTCACATTATTAGTTGAAAAGATCGATTGGAAAATTATATATAAGGTGTAAGAATATCTTAACAGTGTGAGGCCTTTTGGAGAAAATCGTGTGTGCTTGGTCCTGTCAAATTCAGCTATCCATGAAGCTCTGCCATGGAGTTTGAGCTGAATAAAAGTTGACCTATTGAGTTGAGTAAGTCAGCAGAGCAGAGAATGGAAATTGAGTGAATATTATAAAAAAAATTCAATTGAATTCTTATCCAGCTGTACATGTATATGTAGAAATGAAAAAAAAAAAACTAACTCTACCACTAGTTGTAGTTAACTAACTCTACTACTAAGCTGTAGTTAACTAACTCTACTACTAACCATAGTAAACTTAAGTTACAACCAACTAACTGTCATGACTATTGCTTGGCTCATTACTCCCCCTCAGGGTGGAGGGTAAGAACAAATTCTCTACTCCCAACTTGCTCAATAGATGATAGTGTGGTGTCTTCCCAAGGCCTTTGGTAAGTAAGTTTGCAAGTTGATCTTTAGTTCTAAAATGATGAGTTTGAATGAGACCTTGCTGCAATTTCTCCCGTACAAAATGACAATCGATGACAATGTGTTTGGTCCTCTCGTAAAATATTGGATTGACAGCTATCTGTATAGCTGCTTTGCTGTCACAAAATAGGTCTATGGGCAATGTCACATTGATGCCTAGTTCCTTGAACAATCCCACGAGCCATGATAGTTCAGCCACTGTTGAAGCCATGCCTATAAACTCTGCCTCTGCTGAACTTCTTGACATTGTGCTTTGTTTCTTTGATTTTCAAGAAATAAGTGATTGCCCGTACTTCACAATGTACCCTGTGACTGATTTTCTGGACTGTGAGTAGGCTGCCCAATCGGAGTCACAGTAAGCAACCAAAGTGTGAGCTTGTGTAGAGGACATCAATAACCCCAAACCTGGAGCATTCTTCACATATCTGATGACTCTTAGGGTTGCATTCATGTGTGACCTTTTAGGTTTGTGCATGAATTGGATCAGAACCTGAACCACAAAGGCTATATCAGGTCTGGTTATGGTAAGGTAGAGCAACCTTCCTACCAGCCTTTGGTAAGGTTCGGCATCTGTCAATATAATGTCCTCATCATCCTTAGTCTTCGTAGCTTCATCAAATTCCACTAATGTGAGCTTCTGATGGACTTCCAGTGGTGTCGACACTGGTTTTGCTCCACCTAGCCCTGAATCAGAGATCAAATCAAGGGCATATTTCCACCGATTCAATAGAATACCAGCCTTACTTCTGGCAAATTCTATGCCTAAGAAGAATCTGAGCTCCCCTAAATCTTTCATTTTAAATTTCTTCTGAAGGTTATCTCTAGCAGCTTGAATGAGCTACTGATTATTACCTGTCACTAAAAGTCATCCACATATACTAGGATAACAACTAAGGCATCACCTCTCCTCTGTGTGAATAAGGAATAATCAAAATGGCTTTGGACAAATTCCAGATCTTGGAGAGCCTCTGTGAGCTTGAGGTTCCACTTCCTAGATGCTTGCTTGAGGCCATAAACTGACTTTCTCAATTTGCACACCTTGGCTCTAGACTCCCCCTTGGTGCCAAAACCTTGAGGAAGATGCATATATACCTCTTCAAAGAGATCACCCTGCAAGAAGGCATTGTGCACATTCATCTGATAGATGTGCCAATGCTCTGAAGCAGCAGCAGCTATGACTGACCTGACGGTCACCATTTTAGCTATAGGAGAAAAGGTCTCCTTATAGTCTAAATCTTCCTTTTGACTGAAGCCTTTAGCTACAAGTCTAGCCTTGAACCTTGCCACCTCCCCCATTGGCTTTGTATTTGACTTTGTATACCTATTTGCATCTTATAGAAGTTTTACCTTTAGGTAGATCAACTATATCCCATTTTGCATCTTTGGCTGCCTCAGAGTAATGTTTGGGCTCAACAATGACTAATTGTGCAGTGAGACACTTTATATATGAAAGAGATAAACCATCATAACTCAAATAATTGGACATAGGATATGCACAAGAGTTTGTCACATAATCTTACATCCATCTGGGAGATTCTTTGGGACTTTCTGACTGCAATGGGTTGAGCATCCTCTACATGTGAGGAAGATTGAGGAGTGTCAACATTCTGTGATGCAGGAATATCAAATTATGCCTCAGGACTCAGTGGTGAATCAGCATCATTAAATGCAAAGTCATTGGTAGATATAGGTGGACCCTCCTGAACAACATCAGGAACAGGTGGGGGTAAATGCTCACCTGTTAACTCAAGAACTGGGAAGAAGGGATTAGGTAGCATCTTCATATATTTAAAAGGAAACACCTGCTCCTTAAACACCACATCTATACTGATTAAAAATTGCTTGGACTCCAAGTCATACAATTTATAGCCTTTTTTTGTTGTTGATTATCCTATAAACACTGCTGGCAATGCCCTAGCACAACACTTGTCTTGTTTCCTTACATTTATAGCATAACATAAACACCCAAATACCCTAAGGTGATCTAATGATGGTGCAGTGTTAAAGAACATTTCATAATGAGACTTTCCTTTCAAGGCTGTAGAAGATAATTTGTTAATTATGTGTACTGCTGTAAGAACACATTCACCCCAGAATCTTAGGGGTACTGCAACTTGAAATTTCAAAGCTCTAGTTGTTTCAAGGATGTATCTATGTCTTCTTTCCACTATGCCATTCTGTTACGGAGTATAAATACATATGGTTTGATGTATAATTTATAATGTCTCAACTAACTGCTTCATATTTGAATTAACAAATTCAGAGCCATTATCTGTTCTCAAGATCTTAACAGAACAATCAAACTGAGTACTGATTATAGAGAACAATCTTTTCATTAACCAACAAGTCTCATCTTTAGCATTTATCAAGAAGAGTCAAGTGATTCTAGAGAAATCATCCACAACTGTAAGAAAAAATATTTTGCTATCATAAGTGGGTACTTTGAATGGTCCCCATACATCAGCATGCAAAAGATCAAATGGAGCCTTTGCTCTACTAGTACTAACTGGAAATGACAACCGAGTCTGCCTAGCTAATGGACAAACATGACACATTACACAATCGGTGTTTCTGTTACTAATGTGGATATTCTTGAATTTATCAATCCTATTAAGTGTCTCCATAGGTAGGTGGCCAGGTCTCTGGTTCCATGTCCCCAGCTTTATTGAATCTAGACTAACTGACATAGAAGTAAGCATGATTGTGGTATGTACAGTTGGTGTAAAAAGCTTTCTCCTGCGTATGCAATCTTTGAGTATGTACAGTCCATTTGTTTCACCACCAATCCCCAACACCTTCCCAGTGTAGAGATCCTGAAACACACACATATCAGGAAAGAAAGCTACCAAACACTGTAACTCTTTTGTCAATTTTGAAACTGACAGTAGGTTATACTTAAAATTTGGAACATGAAGAACATCGTTAATCTCCTGGACTTAAATATACTAGTTGATCCATTATGTGTAATTGCAGCCTCATCTCCATTTGGCAAATGAACTGAATTAGCCTTTAGGAATGAGGTTAGACTATCTAATGCTTCTAGCTTTGAAACCATATGATTAGAGGCACCACTATCTACAATCCAAATATCTTGATCCAAGTTAGACATTAGGGACATTATAATACCTAAATCCATTCCTGTTGCATTAACTGCTATTTCAGATTCCTTGCCTTTAAGCAGTTGTAAAATTTGCTGATATTGTTCTGGAGTAAATGTGGGAGCCATAGGAGTGGAACCAGTTGTGGTTGCTGGAACATCTTCAGCCGCAAAGTTAATTGTTGCATGCGAGTTGTACTTCTTCCTGAATTTGTTATCTTTTGGATATCCTACTACCCTGTGGCAAACTTCTTTAGTGTGGCCTTTCATGTGGCAGACATCACACTGATTTTTCTTTGGCCTCTGCTAATTCCCAGATCTAGTTGTCATCATTGCCGTCATTTCACCCCATCAACAGTGGTAAAGGTGTTGGACAAAGTCCTTTGACTCTCACGCTCCATTAACATAGAGTAGGCTTTGTTTACATATGGAACAAGAACCATCATCAAGAGTTGGCTACGTGCTGGTTCATAGGACTCATTTAGCCCCATTAGAAATTGTAAAAGTTTCTGACGCTTCATGAATTGACCAAATTCACGAGAATTCGCACAATCACATCCCGGAATTGGGGCCAAACTGTCAAACGCTGCCCAAAGCAACCTCAATTTTGAGAAATAAGATAAGATCGAGCTGGTACCCTGACTTGCAGTGGCAATTTCTTTATGAATTTGAAATATTCTAGAATAATCGACTTTGTCAAACCTCTCCTTGATGTCATTCCAAACCGTAATGGCATTCGAGGAATAGACTATTACATTGAGTAAATCTGGTGAAACACAATTCATTAACCACGATAATATGATCGCATTGCATTGCTCCTAGAGATCAACGAGGTTCGTGCCGTAATTCTCATTTTTACATGTGTCATCGATGAACCCTAGCTTATTTCGGCTTAAGATGGCAATTTTCATCGCCCGGCTCCAAACGGAGTAATTTTCCGGTCCTCGTAGTTGTAAGGAAATCAAAATTGCACATGAATTATCATTCGAATTCAGGAACAGAGGATGATTATGGCTCAGCTTATCCGGTTCAGTATTATTGATTGTCGTCATTGATGAGTCAAACGAATGAGCTTATAAAGATGAATTTGAGAAGAAGAAGACCACTCTGATGGCCATGTGGCTCTGATACTATGTCAAATACAGCTATCCATGAAGCTCTGCCATGGAGTTTGAGCTGAATAAAAGATGACCTATTGAGTTGAGTAAGTCGGCAGAGCAGAGAATGGAAATAGAGTGAATATGTCACGACCCAATTTCACCTATAGGTCGTGATGGCGCCCAACACTACAGCTAGGCAAGCCAACTAATAAGTCAAACGTACATTGGTTAAACTTTTATTCCAAGAAAATAATAAAATACCAACTTCTACCAATGTGTGTGTCAAGACCTGGTATCACAAGTACATGAGCATCTAGTAGATTATACAAAACTCCAAATAATGTCTGAAATGAAATAGACAGAGTATAATTATAAAAAGAGACACTGGTAGCTGCAGAACGGCTCAGAAAAGGCAGCTCACCACTATGCCTCG